GCTGAATAGCTGAATCGGCTGTCCAGTCCATGGAATCATTTAACCGGTCAGTTTTACAAATTAACCACCACCACTGGCAAACACGGATTGTGGGAATAGTCGGTCACAGAAAAGAAAATATGTACGAAACGACAGTGTTGCGGATACTATAAGTTCGTAGACCCCGCTCGAGGATAATCTTATTGATGGTAGAAATGTTTTTACGGGAACAGGAAACACTGTGTAAAAGAAAATCGCCGTGTGTGTATCTATGGATTACTGTTACTTGAAAGAAAAACAAAACGATGACAAGATTTTGAATTGATTCCATTTTGTTTTTGTAAATTTCAAATGATGTGATAACCTATCTTACGACGCACGAATTTGGTCTTTACCTTGAGGTTTCACCTAACAGTTATCATCATCATAATACTACTCTGTTAGTGTGATGTTGTTGTTGTTGTTGTTGTTGTTGTTATCGAGGCATATTGTTGGCCACTGTGATAATGATGGTGGTGGTGGCGATGGAGGGGGACTAGCGAAGAGAAGAGGTTTGTTAGTATTTTAATTGTGAAAATCCACACAGGGGTGTTCGGTGTTGAAGTGGCTCCCGCAATTTATTATCATCCAAAGAGGATTTTCAATCTTGGCAGATAGAGGTACATATGTCGCCAGAAGGAACAGTAGAACAGAGAAGACCACTGTCTATTTACAGTTGAAATTCACTCACGAGGTGGAATAAGAGATTTACAATCGCACGTGAGGGATTGTAATAGATCAATGTGACTTTACTTGAAGTTTATATTCCATACTTCCTATGATTGCGTTGGTCACCGAGATGACCTCCTGGGGTTACTGCATTCGAACCCCGCCACTAACATCGCCTATCTTTCCATTATCTGTGTTTTCCCAGACAGCTCCAGTATGGCTTCGACCCTCATCCTGAAAGTTTATTGCACATTTCTGTACTCAATAAACAAAAATAAATGAAAACATTTATTATTTGTAATCCATTTATCGATATTTGATATGTATGTGATTCGGGTAGTGCAAGCTGCATTCTATCGGAAAAACGGTTAAGCTGCAGGACCAGAAATATTATGTTCTGACTTTAAGACTAATATTAATTAATCCTATTACATATGGTAGCAACAATAATTCTTGTCTTAACGCGTTAGGCTGGATGGAATAAAGGATCAACACGAAGCTCGTTCGGAACGAATAATCACATGCACAACGTACCTGGAATGTTTGTGAAAGTCCACCGTCAAATCCCTGAGTCCAAGCCACTCTCAAAGTGTTCATGGTGGCGTTTAGTAGACGTAGATTGAGTGGCACATCCGGTGTCGATGTGCCGGACATTTGGATATCCAATGTGGCCTCACCTTGTAAATTCACAGCCTACAGTTTAAAACAGAACCGTATTCATGTATGTGTGAGTGTGAGCTGAATCGAGATATCAGAGGTCAGATAAGTAAGTAGTACACTAAGTGTGGCAGCACATTTACGATCAAATGAAAGAACACAGGATTCTGTATTATACTAGCCTGTTGACGATATTCATCCTGTCCACATACATACGATTGGGGATGCGAACCTAAGTTACAGTGAATTACAGACAACAGTCACTGAGATGATCACGATGTCATGAGTACTACGTGACCAACAATCTTTGGGTCTAATCAGCAGCAATGCGAATCCATCGACCCAAGTGGAGCTAACGAACCCGGGACCTCATAGACAGAACACAAGCATGCTACCCACTCGGCAACCGGGCAACTGATCAGACCGTTTTTCATTTCGCCATTTACGCGATACAACAAAACCCATCTTTGCGGGCTTGTTGCGGGTCTCGTGCCTCGGTTATCTCAGCACTAGCCAGCCGGGGTTATCACTCGATTTGGAGACCTTCACAACCTGATTACGTGTTGCATACACGACGAATTCCGTGTGAAACTGAATCTAATCCTTCATTACTCTGATATAATCTTTAGAATAACCCAGGCTCGGCATCCACCGGAGAATATCAGCACTTACTTGACACTGATATTTGCCAAAATCGGTCTTCTGTACATTGTTCAAAACGAGCGTGGCCCTGTATAATCCCGGACGAACATGAATCAGACCGACTTGGTACTTCGGATGCGGTTGTCCTTCGGGCAACTGGATGATCTGACCGTCTTTTAGCCAGCCAACTTTCGGTCCAGGTTCCGTTCGAATAAAACAGGTCAGGGTAACTTGGGAGCCCTGATCACCCGCGGCTTTGGTATAACGTGGCAGTCGGATCATCGTCGGAGGGACTATGAAATGGGGACGTAAGCAGGTTTCGTGTAAGAGACAGAGTGTGTGTTAGGGTAAAGAACATGCCGGTTATAAACGGATCATAACAGGGCTTGTCGAACCAAAGGGGATAGTGTTATTTAAAACACATTGCGATGTGAGCGGGGGGGATGTCAGTTATTCCCTGCTAGTTGTCTGCTTATTCAACATAAACTATTCACAGGTGTTATCGATGTTCAACCCAATTTCGGAACTACGTATGTGGTCATAGCAACACACACATATATGTCTGGTTCCATGCATGCTTCATTCGCAAGTGAATGTGAGTTGGAGGAAGTGAAACGAGTGATGTGATGATGATGATGATGATGATGATGATGATGATGACGATGATTCAAGCGTGTGTGTGTGTGTTTGTGTCAAACGCGCACAGGGGCAATAAACGAGCGGCTGAATATGCAAGCACACCCTTTTTTATGAACTGCGCGTACGAGTTGGTTCCGCTGTACACCTTGCTCTCGGATGTTCACACACACATACAGAAAGAGAGAGAGTTACCGGTACCGTCACACCATTTGATCAAATATTCTTCTATAATAAAGATAAGAAAACATCAGGCAGAAATCAATCGTTAGTTCCGGTTTACAGTATACTTGAATGAAATGAAATCTGTGCCCAATTTTCAGAGAACAAAACAAATCTACACAAAAGAATTGCATATGGTCAAGTGTACTATTGCAACTGGGTCAAATTATGGGCAGATTGTAGGGATAGCCATTTTGAGGATGGATATCCCATTCGGGTTGGGTAGCATACGGATTATTAAAGAACGAAATAACTCTAAAGTTAACCCGTAACATAAAAAGAGAATTGTAAAGTGGGGAAGTAGCGATCGGGTGTGTGTGTGTGGGGGGGGGGAGTCGATGAAACGTCGATCTAATTATTCAATAGCAGTGAATCCATTTATGATGGTGCTGGTAGATAAAGGGTGGCCGCTAAATTCGTTCCGCTTGTCAATAAACTGATTCGAACCTTTTCGACAGCCCTTTCATTAACCGCTTGACTCCTTCTGAAAGTTGATCGTGCGGATGTTTATTCAGTGCTCGATCCGGAGGGACCTAGAATTGATATAAAAACTTCAGTAGTTTCAAGTCACGTCACACTTAATCTTGTGAACCAGTAGGCGAAGACATCTTTCTGTGCCATTCAGGAAGCATCATCTTAATCAACATTTGATGAAATGGATTACAGAGATGGATACGCGCAACGTATTATATAATTTTTCTTAGGGAGTGAGTACTTCCTAAAAATCGCTGTGTTCCCGGACGACCAAACAGATACCACAATCAACTGAGACGATTGACATCAATCCCATCAACCAAACCCTATGCAAATGGATTTCTCTGTCTTCTGTCTTCTGCTCTCTGAATACGCATGGTTTTGGGTACAGTAAATAAATTCCTACATGATTACAGATGTGTTCTGTATCACAATACTTGGACCATTATGTGAACTATAGACACGCCATCCGGGGCCGGTTGTCTAAAAATCCAGTACCTGGAAGATCAGTGAAAATATAACAGTAGTGATACGTACAAATCCAGATGACATAAGCCTAACCGAATAAATTCAAGACAAAATGGACGATTTCAGTCGGTTCCAGATTTTCATTGGGAACAAGTAGCATCATTATTTTTGATTTCTCGCAAACGTTTTGGGGCCTTTTTGCAATCTAAATGTTTCACTTATCCAGGTGGCTGACCATAGTAAAACTATGTACAATAGTTTTGGGTATTGTGAAAAGATACGAAATTCATTTGGGAATCAGATTTTCCATTGAAGAAAACTAGATTACTCAAAAACGAGTACCTAAAGCTCTTCAGATATTTCTTTTGCTTTCTTCAGTGTTTGTTAAAATGAATCATACAAATTGAGTGCTCGTTATCCCTTCAGGATACAATGGACACAGGTTATCAACGGTCTATGGAGAAATACAAAGCCCTATCCCTAAACCATCCGAGTAGATTCCCGTTTCTCTTTGGAAGCTGACAGTTGTCACACACCTCAATTGAGAAGGACTTGGGTATCATTGTGCAAGAAGACTTAAGCTGCTTGATCAATTGTGCCAGGGCCTGCTTAGGCTCTTCTCTGGTCGGTTTCTATCTGCACTGATTCCATGTTTACTATCCGTGTACATTTGACCGTACACAGGTTATAAAAGCCTAGAGGCCAACACGATCGTAAGATGCTGGGCAGTCCACAAAAGATTGCCACAATTATGATCATTGGATCGCATTACCTCACCTATGAAGAGAGAGTACAATCACTGAAACCATATTCCACTCAGTACTACCGAGTTCGAAGAGAATCGATTTTGGTATATCGAATATTGATTGTATAGCCATTCATGTTGTCTGCTGCGCACGTCGTCACCCAACATACTTTTGGGGAAAATCGTCTCAGGTCAGTGATTCTAAAATGTCGGCTGGAATACCGGCGTGATACTTTTCCAGTTAGAATGTGCACCATTTGGAGCTCCCTTTCATCTGGAATCGTTTTTTGCAGAAACCATCGAATCTCTCTAGCAGAGATTTGATGAAACCCTGGGAAACCTCACATCCCTACATAACTAAAAACGCAAACTATATAGTCCAGGAATGCACTATATATACAATTTCTTATCCGTAACTATGAGTGACATTCAACATTTTGATATGCATAACTGTCAAGGTTTCTGTAAATCCGCATTCATCTAACAAAATATCTCATTTAGAACGAGTCTCCAGCACTCCCAGGCACACAAGATGGCTAATGGAACGGTCCAACAGTAGATGAACATTCTTGTGATTACCATGCTGAACAGAGCGAATCACCCCAACAAGTCTTATTCATCATTTACGATTGAAAGAAATCGCCAGTCGTACATATTTTTGGGAACTACTGACAAATGTGAGTAGTATCTCAGAATACTACTACTACCACTACTACCCGATGTGCCAACAATCTGCTAATCGAATTGTTTTGCCAGATCACACTGAACACAATTCCATTACAAGCAAATTCAATAAAATCAACTATTGTGTCCTTTATTGTAGCTTTGGCCACTGAGGTGTTTCGCACTTGGTTGAAAACACTGCAACTATGGTAAGGTGACCGTGTTGTCATTGTTAGGATTACCACAAACCGGAAGAATGCCAAATTTCTTTTTCTAGATACCCCCTGATACTCTCTCTATCGTCTATAGTTTAGGAATCAATCGGTTTCACTTTTACATGCATGCAAGTGTAGTTTATTGATGGGTTTTCCAGTCCATCAGAGCACCGGATTTGTAGGACACAGCAGATTTGCATGGGGATTTTCAAACTGAAAACAATGATGTAAAATACCACAAATGTCTTGGGATTTATGTAACGGCTCNGCTCTGGAAACAAGCATGATAAACGTGCATTATTCCAAGTACTGAGTAGAGTTGATTGATATTGTTAACAGTAGTAGTAGTAGTAGTAGTAATAGTAGTAGTAGTAGTAGTAGTAGTAGTAGTATTCAAACTGAGTTTCACCGTAAAACGACCCAGATGGGTATGGATTCCTGATGCAGGCGGTTTATTTTGTCAAAGGCCATCCACATTTTAATAATCAGTCGCAAAAAGTGGAGTGTAACATTGTGTTAAGTATCCGGAGAAGAAGAGTACCTGAAACAATGTACGCCAGCATTCGGGCCTCGATAACTCATAATTCATAATACTCAGATCAGGTGAATTACTCCCCCAGTTTTTCCTAACCATTGCGATGTCAATACACAAGTGAAAATCAAGTCAAATCAAGTCAAGAATGCACTTTATTCATCCAATATGGACAGAATTCTCAGTGAAAAAATGTTCTCTCTTTTGCTTTGGTATACACGCTATTAAAAATGAGTTTGAAGATATGACAAATAGTTACTTAGATGATCATGTCGTGGACAATGAGAACGCGTAGATAAGGAAGAAAATTTCAGCGTTAATAATTTACATTAGACTGTGTATAATTTCGCTTGATTTTCGTTCCCTGGAAACCCATAAACGGGCAAGGCAACGCACAACGGAGCTGTGAAAAGCAGTGGTAAGAGGATATAAAGGTTTATATTTATTGTGTTGACAGAATTTGAAATGGAGCGAGATAGGGCTGAGTGTGAAGGAAGGTCACAATCCCTAAGGTGTTGGTGTTGACAATGGAATCAACCAGCTCCTCATAAGATCTCCAGATCCGGAGATGATTTTCAGAGAGCGTCAAATTACTATGAAATCCTTAGACAGTAGACCGGAAAAGATAACGGGAGAGCAGTAGGTCCAATGGCATAAAATCCGTGAGAAAATAAATTTGGAGATGATGTACAATGGCACCCTCAGGTGCCGAAGGCATAAAAGATAAAAGGTCAACTTTCTGACTTTAAGAAGTGTTTGTTCTACGTGATAGGACCATTTGAAGTCAGCAGACAGGAAACAACCAAAATATTTGAAGTGTTGTGACCTTTCAACTTTTAAGTTATTGATTAAGATGTAGGATACAGATGATACAGAAAGTGTTGATAGCCTACGGTTAACGGAAAATAAAAGTTCATTGTCGAAAAAAAGTATTCGTTTTTTTAATTACAC